CATTATTTAATTCAATGATAGCATTTTCATTTCCCAATTAAGTCTGGAATAGACATTCACTCCAACGCTCTATTTCCCTAGACATAACACTCAAGTGGTATTCCAAAATTCAATTAAATTGAACATAAAGTCATTAAAAAGACCATCTCCTTCAGAGAGACTTACTAATTTATGGTATAGTTTCCCCATTAAAAAGTATTCTTTTAATGTTTTACCTATATTCTTCCCTAAAATTATAAGCAATATATATTTACATGTTTACTAAAATGCAAGAAAACAACTAATTTTTGAAAGATTATTGTTCATATTGTACAATGTTGTACTTCTCCAATTAATTCATTCATTAATTTTAAAGCGTAAGAGGGGATTTTATATGGTAACTTGTATTTTCTCACATGGTACACAAGTCATTCTTCAAGGATAACAAACAAAATGCACACAGTGTACATGCGGTGTGCTTGGACCTAGTGGTGGACTGGTATTAGTGTAGCTAATCCCTGCGTTCAGACCAATCCTAGGACTCAAATTCAAAAAACAAGTACAGTAAATAGAAATATGTTAAGTTAGTAAGAGGTTGCTTGTTAATGGATGCATGATAGACACTAGATCGTAGTAAGAAACATATGATGATGTGATAAAGAACAATTGAGAAACTGTTACAAAATTAAAACAAGAAAAATAAATAACATGCTGGAAACAAGTAAAAACATTAGGCTTTTGGCATAAATAATAAATAAAAAAAAATGATAATCAGATATACAATGATGCTGTCAAACAGTAAACCAGGGTTGAGGAACGTCCAGCCCACAGGCTGTATCAAGCCTGAGAAATCATTTGGTCTGCTCCTCACAGGGCCAACGATACCATAAGGGGGAGGGCTGGAGGAATGAGACACATTGGGGGGGGGCAAGGGGAATAAGACACGTGGCATTTGTTGGGGAAATTAGATACATATACCAATAAATAATACACACGGACTACACAGTGGTGTATTTTGAATTTGTGCTGCCCTAGGCATGACGGAACTCGGGCACACCTTAATTTAAATTTACCCCACCCCTTCCATTCAAGGCAATACCTCTTCCTATTAAAGACTAACACATGCTTTGTATGGCATATACACAGACACACGCACTTACTGACCAACACACACTCTCAGATACACTGACATACACTCACTGACAGACACACATACTCACACACTCACTGATTTAACACAATCTGACACACACACACAATTACTGATTTGACACAATCTGATAAACACACACTCAGACACGCACTAACACACGCACTGAAAGACGCGCACACTCACTGACAGACACACATTCATTGACAAACACACATTGACAGACATACACACACACTCACAGGCACACACTTATATACATACCCACACACAGTTACTGACAGACACACACAATCATTGACGTACACACACATTCACTGACAGACACACAAACTCACTCACAGAAACACACATACTCCTTCACAGAAGCACACATTCACTGACAAACAAACTTACTGACAGACACACTCACAGATATAAACACACATTCACTGACAGACACACACACACACACTGACACACACAAACTGACATACATACACATATACACAAACTGACAGACAGACATACACTCACTCAGACACACTGACAAATATAACAACAAATTTACTGACAGACAAACACACAGACACACACACTGACAGATTGACACACACTGATACACACACATCACCCCCCCCCAACATCTACAAATCATTATTTACTTTTATTTTAATTTAAATCCACCCAGCCTCTCTACCTTTGTGAGAGCTGGGTGGCGTTTTACCTGGGGTCCAGTGGTGCTGCAGGACTGGCCACTGGGCAGGCGTGCAGGATGGAGGTCAGGCAGGCGTGCAGGATGGAGGGTGGGCAGGCAAGGGGGGGAGTGGGTGTGCATAATAGGCGGCAAGGGAGCTCTGATCCTCCTGTTCAGCTCCCTTGCACGCCGCTATCACATTCTGGCTCCTGGCATTACTGCGGGTAACACGAGGAAGCTGAGCAGTAAGAGCTCAGATCAGCGCTCCCTCGTTGCCCGTCTGTAAAAGAAACTTCCGGGCGCCCTGTGGGGGGGCTTAAGGGTGGCCAGTTGGCCAACTCTTAGGCCCCCCCATAAGCCAAGCCAAACAAGGTATTTGTCAGGGCACTTGGGAAGGAAAATGCCTTGTTTACCTTGCGCTAAATACGGTGCTGGAACTACAACCTCTCTACATAAACACACACACACACACACACACACACAATACAGTCCCTGTACACACATGCTACAGCCACAAGATACACTCCCAAACACAGCAGCCCCTATACAAATATATGCAAACTGCGCCCTCTAGAAACATTACACCCAAAGACAAATACACACATGGTTTCTCTCTCTCTCTAGAACCGCTAGACAGACAGACACACACATTCTCTACAGTCCTTAGATGCACACATTTTACAGCCAATGAAATACATACACACTACAGTCCCAAGCCACACATAACACAAAAGACTCTTTTACACTACACTACAAACAGTCACCTCCACGCACAAACAATTGCACAGTCAGCCTCCAGCCATACAGCACCACAGACAGCCTCCTCACATATTACATAGTTACACAGTTACATTTGCGTCCATCAAGTTCAGCCTTCCTCACATATGTTTTTGGTGTTGATCCAGAAGAAGGAAAAAAAAAAAAAAACCCAGTCTGAAGCGCTTCCAATTTTGCAACAAATTAGGAAAAAATTCCTTCTTGACCCCAAAATAGCAGTTAGATATCTTGGATCAAGCAGCTATTACTCCACAAATTGGAAGTTATATACCTGTATGTTATGTTTTTTGGAAGTATTTATCCAATTTCTGTTTAAACATCTGTATGAACTCTGATATGCACAACACTCTTTACTGGCCATGTCCCACTTTTCTCCTCTGGTATCCCTCTTATAGGGAGTCAAGTCACCAGCAATCGCAGAGCTGTGCTGTGTAAAATAAACACAGGACATTGTTCCCATGCGGAAGCACTTCAGCAGGACTGTGCGCATGACATACCCTGGAGAGACAACAAACAAACATGCTCACTTTGAGGTAGTACTGTTAACGACATGGCATGCCCCCTCCATCCCAGCCCCCTCCTACTGGGCTGCTCTGCCTTTAAATACACAAGCTGAATATTTTTCCCAGTCTGGCCCTGGAATCACTACTACTAGACAGGGATTTATGTGATAAGACCTGTCCCTGTAGACCAGAATGAGATTCTCCTGATTGGAGGTTTGTATCCTGGTGTGAGAGGGATCTGCCTGCTGCTATAGGCAAATCAACTATACAATTGTTTAATGCTTGATCTGTATATAATGCGCACTGTCATGCATAACACTTCATAGGAGGTGCTAGAATCCTGATTCCAACCATTCAAACTGTGGTATATAGTATAGTATATTCTATAATACCAATGGTGGCTGCGCATATTCAATTTCCACATTTTGCAAAGTAGCCTCTGAATTACTTTGAATGCAGTGCAGAATTCATACTTTCTGGACTGCTAAAATGAGGAACCAATTCATGGAAATAGGCACCAGAATTGGCTACTTTCTGCCTGCAAACTTTGTTCAAATGCAGGCTGATAGCTGCCAATATTAATACAAGCTAATATCTTGCAAATATAGATAATTAGGGGTATATTAAACATTATGATATATGTTAAAATAATATATATACATATATATAGTATTTTGTAACCCATTACCTGTTTGCTGCTTTTACTGCTAATAGTTTCTGTAGGTTTCCATGCAAACAACAGCTGAATTAATTTTGTGAATTTGCCTTCTATTAGATTTGTTCTCAGCGAATCTGGATGAAAATTAGTCTTTTATAAATATGCAAATCCTACATTTTACAATTTATACAACTAATAATTTTAAATCAGAGTACTAGCAGTACTGAATTTAACCAAATTGCAACTAGATTTGCTCTAGGTAAATATGAGAATTACAAAGAAAATATAAGTGGAGCTTTAGTACACCTGAGTAATGGTATTAAAGTGTCACGTATTCATCTGCACATAAAAATGAGGTTAATGGTATTTACCGTCCTGACAGGAAAAGTTGTGCCGAGCAGCATTACCGTCCTGATGGGAAAAGTTGTGCCGAGCAGCAATCATGCACATGGAAACCTGGTAATTGCTTTTGGAGTCAAACGCCGGTTATGGCCAATCAGATCCACAGGAGTGTTGTGCTGAGCAGCAATAATGCACATGGAAACCTGGTAATTGCTTTTGGGGTCAAAGACCAGTTACAGCCAATAGGATCCACAGGAGGGATATTTAAACGCAATTCTCCTTTTGCGCATTGCCCTGTCGTGGTTTCATACTGATGGTAATCCGAGAGAGGGCTCCTGATCTTGATTTTCTGGTATTTGACTTTGGCTTCGTTTTGACTTCCCTGAATTCTGGTATCCTTGACTTTTGGCTTTTCCTCATCGTTGTGTCTGATTCTGTGTTCCTGACCTCGGCAAGTATTTTGACTATTCTTGAATATGTTAAGTCCAGCCATTCTAAGGTCCGGTTATACGTTATCCTTAGTCCTAGGTGTGAAACAGTTCTGCATGCTGACATAAAGATGGGTACAAATGGTGAAACTATTTACACAAATCTGTGGAAAATATAAAACACAACCATAGTGCAGATGCTGTAGACAATAGTAGTAAAGAATTAATTTTGGATACCGCCGATGTTTTGGTGGCAGTATTGGATGGCGGAGACGGATGGGTGGACCGACTGACTGATTGCTGGCTATTAGGTGAATACCGGCTGAGACATCCTTTTGGATGCAAAAGTGAGTAAAAGTGAGAGAAAGCCGTTAGAGCCCTGAGGAGCCCTGAGGAGATTGGAAAATTTGCTGGCTGTTGTCTGCTGTTGGTGTGGTGCAGTGTGGCTGGAGGAAAGGGGTAAGACTTATAGGTTTTACAGACCAAAATGTCTCCCAATCGTACAAGGAAAGCAACAGCGGAGGTTAGAGATAAGGGGTCCTTTTTTGCAGCAAAGAGTCAGAATAAACATACTGATAGCCAAGCTGACAGTCAGACTAAAGATAACGCTCAAGAAAGCGTGGAAGCTGGGTCTGATCAGGAACTAGAACTACCCTTACTCTCTTCTCCGAATATACCTTATGTGCAAGTAGCAATAAATAAAGAAGAGACTCAACTTACAACAAATCTTATGCAGAAAATGCTGGATGCAGCAGTTAACAAGATGCAATTAACAGTGGAAGCAGCTATTGCCGATTTAAAAGTAAATTTTATAGATCTAGATGCCAGGACTGTACATCTAGAGGGGAAAATCAATGAGTTCACTGTAACTAATGCAATGCTGAGAGACCGGTTGGATACAATAGAACATAGGATACTTCAACATGAATTAAAATTAATAGATGTAGAAGATAGATCCCGGCGTAATAATATTCGGATACGTGGAGTTCCTGAAGAAATTGGAGTACAAGATTTGGAATCTTATATGAGAGGTTTATTTCTTTCCATCGTGCCAGATACACCATCAGAAATGCTTTTATCTGACCGTTTGCTAAACCACAGCATCTGCCTATATCTATACCAAGAGATGTATTAATAAGACTTCATTATTATCATGTGAAGGATAAAATAATGCGAACTCACAGAAGTAAGGGGAAACGGACCGGGAAGTATGAAGGTGTTTTTTTATTTACAGACCTCTCAGCAGAAACATTAAGACGCAGAAGGGCTTTTAAAGAAATATTAGAGATACTTCGATCTAACAACATTCCCTATAGATGGGGTTACCCAATTAAGTTGGTCATTATGAAAAATGGGAAATCTTTGACATTACCATCACCGGAAGAAGGTTTAAAGCTTTTACAAGAGTGGGGTATAATGAAGAACCCCCAAGAAGATCTTATAAAAACCAATTAATATAAAGGCGACAAGAGAAGATGGAAGATAGAAGACAGAAGTTCCTGCTCGGGCTTTTGACTAAATTGAGAAATTCATGACTTGAAGTTTTGAAAGTGGACCAATAATAAGCTCCTGTGAATCCAGCAGGGGTTTGATACAATTAAGATTATTGATATTACAGATATTATTGGATATTAGTTGATATATATGTATGTGTATGGGTATATATATATGTATGTGTATAGATTATAATTATTATATATATATATATATATATATTTTTTTTTTTTTTAAACTGTTTGGTAAAGCATAATTTATGAACAGAGAGTGTATTTAAGTTTGGTTTTCAGTTATTTTGATATGTTACTGGTACAATATGTTATACGTCATACTAATGACATATTTACATTTTTAAATTACTAGGTAAGATTATAATAAAACTAGGTTAGTGGAATTAAAAGCCGCTAGATAAATTATAATAAGACATGCAAAATGGCTAACTATTTAACTTAGATAACTGGATAAAGGATTAAAAGGTTAAAATATGGTATTAGAAATACTCACTGAAGTTATGTATATGATTTAACTAGCGGTGTGGAATATAGGCTTGCATAAGTGACTGATTATAATGGGACTTTCTTCTATAAACTTGGGTATATATATATAATGTATATATTTTAATTTTTTTTCTGTCTAAAGAAATATGCACTTATTTTAGTTTTGGTTTTTGTTATCTATATCTGTTAAAGATGTAGTACGATACGTTAACGATATACACAGGCATATAAAATATTGAAATACAATAAAAAAAAAAATAGTTTATGGGTATTGGTATATAAGCAGCTAGATAAGTTGCAACCAAGATATGTTTTTAATAGAGACGGGTACAAGTGTATATAATGCAAGTTTTTTTTGTAAAGTAACTTTGTTTAAATGGAAGGGGAATTTAATATTAAAATTCCCTCCCCCCCCTCTTTTTTTTTTTTTTAGCTGAAGGAATCCACTATAAAAATACTTGATAACTATTAAAAATTATTAAATTAAGTTTCTTCTAGTTTTGGAACTGACGTAGTAAATTCCTTATTATAATATAAGCTGGCATTTTTTCAGTGCCACTTTGTAAGAAGCGGTATAATTTTGGGGCCTTAGATTGCCACCTTCTGAACCCAATCCGTACACACTTTCCCCCAACTAAGAAGTGCCATAAGAGGCACATATCATTGATCTGTCCATTTTTAATATATAGTTGTTGTTTTTTCCTTTTTTTTTTTCTCTCTCTTCTTTTTCTCTCTCTTCTCCTCTCATTGTGAGTTGGATAAAATGAAATTCTATACTCACAATGTTAGAGGATTAAATATCCCTCAGAAGCGGTACTCACTATGTAAAGAATTTTATAAATCACAAGCTGATATTATATGCTTACAAGAGACCCATTTTAAACATGGTTCCAATCCTAGAATAGGAGTGAAAAATTATCCCTATCAATTTCATGCTACTTCCCCATCTAAAAATAGAGGAGTCTCAATATTGATTAACCAGACACTTGCCTTTGACCAGATATCTGTCCAACAAGATTCACAGGGTAGATATATTATTCTTATATGTGTACTAAATAACTCCACCTATACGATAGTTAATTCCTATTTCCCAAATAAGAATCAATTGAGCTACCTGTCCAATTTACTAGAGGAAGTAGAGAAGGTACAAACAGGAACTTTGATCATATGTGGAGACTTTAATCATGTATTAGATCCTATTACAGACTCTACAGCTTCTCATACTCATAAAAGGAAAAAAGCTTTACAAAAACAATGTAATGCATTTAACAAAACACTAGCTGCATATGGATTATATGATATTTGGAGAATTTTACACCCAGAGGGTAGGGAATTTACACATCATTCGCAAGTTTATAATACGTATTCCCGAATAGATGGGTATTTTATGCTTAGCACACATATACAACAAATAACCTCCTGTGAGATAGGCACTTCGACACAATCAGACCATAACCCAGTACTACTTACTTTAAAGGATATATATAAATATAAACACAGAAGTCCATGGAAATTGAATGAACAATTGCTTAATGACACCATATTTGTGGAAAAGATTCAAAACGAACTACAGCACTATTTTAGTATAAATGATAATGAAGATACGAACCCTGCTACACTATGGCTGGCTCATAAATCTGTTATACGCGGGATATTATTGAGTAGAGCATCTTTTCTCAAAAAAACAAATCATACAACATTGATTACTCTTCTTAAAAAACTACAGGATCTTCATAGAGAAAACCAAGCAAATCCTACCCAAGTTCTTCAACAGCAACTTTTGGAAGTGCGTGAAGAGATTAATGCAGTTCATTCTAGGAAAGCTAATCTAGCAATAAAGAAATTAAAGGCAACATCTTATTCGATGGGAAATAAGGCAACTAAAGTTTTGGCTCAAAGATTGAAGAATAAACAAGCACAAGCAAGAATTCCATTCATAAAGACGCAAGAAGGTCATAAAATTATGCAACCGCTACAGATATGTAACGAATTTGCACATTACTATACGACTCTATATAATTTGAAAGAGCAGCATACTCAATCCCAACCTACATATTTATCTATACGTTCATATCTGGCAAATATTGCCCTTCCCCAAATAACACCAGAACATCTAGAAAAATTATGTGCACCTATTACTACAGATGAAGTGATGCGCCTAATTGAAAATATGCCAAAAGGGAAAACACCAGGTCCAGATGGGTATACTAGTGTATACTATGCTATATTTAAAAATGAATTAATTTCAGCCCTTACTAAATTTTTTAATAGCGCTACTAGATTAGGTTCCTTCCCGACGGAGTTCCTGTCTGCTCATATAGTCACCATTCCTAAACCTGGGAAATCATTAACAACGTGTCAAAATTTTAGACCAATATCTTTATTAAATGTTGATGCTAAACTTTATGCGAAGATTTTTGCAGAAAGACTCAGTAATATTATACCGACATTAATACATACAGACCAAGTAGGATTTGTGATGGGCAGACAAGGACCAGATAATATTCGGAAAGTGCTAGATTTACAGGGAATCCTAAACCGCACTAAACAGGAAAGTATCATGATATCCCTTGACGCCGAAAAGGCCTTTGATCGCTTGAATTGGTTATTCCTTCAGGAAACCCCATTGGCCTATGGATTCCCATCTTTTTTTCTTTCTGCAGTTAGAGCTTTATATAGTGTACCTTCAGCAACAGTATTGTACGCAGGTTTTCAGTCGCAAGCTTTTTCAATCACTAATGGGACCCGTCAGGGATGCCCACTATCTCCACTTCTCTATGTGTTAGCTTTGGAACCTCTTGCAATATCAATACGGAGAAATGGCAATATCCATGGTGTGTTAGTAGGCAATAAGGAATATAAACTTAGCTTATTTGCCGATGATGTATTTCTTACAATAACACAACCACTTATCACACTCCCCTCTCTGCATAAAGAACTGCAATTATACAGCCAACAATCATACTATAAACTTAATATTGTAAAAACGCAAGCTATGTGTCTTAATACTACAAAGGCAATGGAAGACAGATTAAAAATAAGCTATCAGTATGATTGGAGAGAAGATTATTTAATTTTTTTAGGTGTCAGGATAACTAATAAAGAGAAAGAGCTCTTCTCAGCTAACTACACAAAGCTTCTGAAAGAAATTGATAAACAATTGGATTCATGGAAACATCTGTTCTTATCTTGGATGGGAAAGATCGCAGCGTTTAAAATGTCAATTCTACCAAAGATTTTATATCTTTTTAGAGCACTGCATATTAAACTTCCGCAAAAGTATTTACTGTCTCTTCAAGCATCTATTGTACGTTTTAGCTGGGGTGGTAAACACCACAGAGTACCTAAAACATTACTTTTGAGAACTGTGACGAATGGTGGAATGGGAATACCAAATATAAAAGCATATTATCATTCAGCTATTTTAAGGAATGTTATTATTGTTCATTCAAAGGACTATTCCCCCCAATGGGTAGCAATAGAAAGTAATTATTGTGGAACACAAGACCTTTCAACAACACTGGAAACCGTATCAAATGAGACAAAAAATGGAGAATATGTTACCTTTAACTAAACATTTTCTCAGAATCTGGGACACTTGTAGAGACAAAATATGTTCAGCATATCCATGGGCCCTTGCGACCCCAATTAAAATCTTATTTTACTGTAATGGCACGTTTCCTTATCAGAAATGGGAAAGGGCAGGTATTACACATTTATTTCATTTATGCAGTATAGAGGGCCTTAAATCTTTTCCAGCATTGCAAGAAAAATTTTCATTACCCTCAAATTTTATATTTGCTTATCTCCAAATTAAAGCGATAGTAACCATAAATAAGATTTCAACAGCAGAATTAACGCTTCAAGCTTCCATAACAGAATTTGAAAAACAATGCTTATCGTTACGTCCTCCGAAAAAGACATTGTCTATTTGTTATCAAAAACTGTCTAACCCTGTTGAGCAGAGTAATTGGAAATTTATGCAAGATTGGCAAGAAGATTTAAAAGTTAACATTCCCTTGACGGAATGGAAACAAATGTTTACGGCCCATATAGGGCTAACTACCAGTACCGCCCATCTTGAGGCAGCACGGAAAATTCTCTATAGGTGGTACTTAGTACCAACACGTTTAAATTCTAT